AGAATTTTTGGCTGGATTTCATCACAATGATATTTTTGATTAACTTATCATGCTGCCTCTATTGGGATCAGCTGAACGGCGGGAAGGCTAGTAAGCTCTTCTTTTCTTTTCCCCTGTCTTATGATTGAAAAATACTTAATTTTGGCTCTTACTCTAGGTGATCGAGATCGTACCGTTGGCAAATGAGCCTGGCGTTTATATGGTCTGGCTACTAATCCAGTCGCCTGGTTCTCTCGGTGACCAGTGCGGTGCGACTTCAACTACGGTCTCCACCCAAAGGTCAACATCTTTGCATTCAGTACGTCTAGTTGTTCCACGACAATTTTATGTGAATTTGCGCGTCCCCAAGCTCGTGGAGTCCGGGACCCTATTTTGCAAGGTTGGGGCTCCAGTATCTGCCTCTTCTGCCATCTCGCTTGGATCGACTAAGTTGGCGTCTCGTATGGGTCATGGCTTCCTGTTACCACGCAGCCATGCTCTGTATCATTTATACGAGTACAAGGTTCCCGAGTTGGTTTTTCAAGCTCACGCGATCGAGATGCAGGTAAACAGACACGGATTCTATATACCTTGCCACTTTTTTCATGGGAGGAAAAGATGGATATGGCTTCTGAGAGGAAGAATGTAAAACTTGATTATTAAGGTAGTAATCTCTTGTATTCATCATTCATCGCCTATTATGAGATTATTATTACGATAGTTATTTGGGTTGAACATTCTCTTTCTAAATATGAGTCTATTCTACTTGTCTTATTAACTTAATTTAAGCCCATCACCTTATTCTCGAAGCTTATCCTATTATGATCTCTCTTTCAGGCGGCGGATTTGGCCCTTCCTGAGGTTGAAGGTGTCTATGAGATGCGCTTTCCTTCACTCTTCCGTGCCATTGTACGCCTTGGCTGCGTTTGTAGCCTGCAACCGCAAGCGAACATTAATCGTAATCGTACTGATCATTCTACAACTGCCAATAATGCTGCTGGGGCAAATGCAAACACCTTTCAACTTGACAAGTTGCGTTTTCACTCTTTGGCCAGTTTGCCACTGGGTCAACAGTCCTACCTTCCGTTTGGGACTTTGCGCCGCCTATTTCTGTTTCACTACCAGTCAACTATCCTGCCGACGACAACGACTGGGGGCATTGCCAATTTGGCTCCTAGGCAGAAGGAAGCACTAAGACAGGTTAGATAGGCCTATTAGTTTATGGTGAACTGATGATAAAACTTAATTTTTTAAAATATAATTTGTTTGACCTTGTTTACGCAACTTAATCATATTAGCAGGAAGATCTAGAGGAACACACCTTGTCTGGAGTCCATAGTATGCACGTGAATTTACAGTCAGACCTCTAGGTCTTTCTGCCAATATGACCTAGTTTTGAAAACAAGGTCAAACAACTTCTATACAATGCAAGGAGATCGTGATCATACAAAAGTCAACACCATTCTGGTATTTTATACCTTTGATTTTTTAAATATTGAATTCTATATTTTCATTTGTACCGAATTTTTTTCGCATCCATCGTTGATCGTACTTTCGATGTCACCCAAGCCTTTTCTTAAACGCAGTACATGCAAATTCCAAAAGATTTTTTAATATACCTTGTATATAAATAAATTAAATTATTGATGTATAGTAGTTGTTTGACCTTGTTTTCGCATCTTGGCCATATTGACAGGAAGGCCTAGACGAACGCATCTGTCCGGAGTCCATAGTATGCATGATAATCTTCAGTTGGATCATGAACTTGGTACATTCTCAGACGTTTCCCAGGCATCGTTGCCTGCATCGCCAGTGAGTCTTGCCATTCTTTGCACTACTCTAAGCTACAACTCGTCAAAGAGACAATTGAAGTCAATCTTTTGATCAACTTTCTACTTTAATGGTTGTGTTATTACTCTTCTTCCTGTCCTGGTCCCTCTATCCATTTCCTACCTTTTTGTCTCGCCTTCATCCTATCATAATTTCTGACGTATTTATATGCTACAAGAGATGTGCCCTTTTGGCGAAGTTACCGGGGCCTCTTCACAGCTGTTTGCATTGCAATAGTCATTTTATCGATATAGCCTGCAGCCTTGCATTTTCAAATCTGACCCTGTTGAATTTTTTTCTAATAAAAGTATTTTGTATAATAGGAGAACTAATTAAATTAATCTAGATTTTGGGATTTCAGATGACGCTTTATTTTTCTTTAATTATACTTATTAATATGCATTAGATATTTTCGCCGATGACATCCGCCACACCCACTAGCCTTCTCAATTAGTCATTACTCTTAGCCAGCA